AGGGGTGACATGCTCATGAAGAATACTTGGGTATGGTTTGGGTTCACATTTTTGTCAACCCATTTGGACCACGTCCTCAGCACTCGATTATAAGCCACAGGCCTCGGCACTTCATCATACTCGGTCGAGCCTTTGTCAAACGAGCCTCGCCTGTTTCATTATTACCAACCGATCCCAAGTGTTAGAATCATCAATCTTAATCAACCCAAAACTCTTACAGAGGAGAGTAAGTTTTGATTAAAAAAAAAAGACTTACAAGACTTTCATGGCAAAAGTGTTCATCCACCAAATGTACGTGTTGAAGACGAGGTAGTCTACGTTCTTCCAATTCTTGCCGTGCTTTTTGATGGACTTGGGCATGATGATGCGGTTTAATATGCTGTGCATGTTTGGGTCGTCCGAGTTGGACTCGACTAAGAACGGAGCCCAGTAAAACTCCACCGTAGCATTGTAATCCTGCAGATTCAGAGGTAGACAACACTCGAGTATGTTGAAAAAAATCGAAAAACAGAAACTTCTTTCATTTCTTTCGACAAACATTCAGCTACTACATATGACCAACATGCCTTTATTTACATAGGGTGGTTAAATGCTCACATGCCAACAGATTATGTGAATATGTACTGGTAACAGGATTCTTCTAATCTAAGCAAAGTCTAAGGACAACATTTAAGTTAAAACTGTTAGTTGCTTAAAGAGGAAGTTTCCTATTCGAAGTCGCATTTAATTTCATCTGCTTTTCAATATATTTTTAATTTTTATGAATGTTTCACCTCATTTAAGCAAGTAAAGTATAATTTAATTAGCAATAATTAATGCTTGTAACATATACTTGTATATAATACCTCAATTCTGAAAACAGATAAAGAGCCAGTCTTGTTCAAGCTCTTCCTGCCGGGAGGAACTGCCGACTGAACCAAACATATCATCGATTCCCACTGATTCCGGTTCAAAGAGTCCCCGACAAACATCAGCCTCTTGTTCCTCAGTTTTTCGAGCAACAGTCTCGGTTT